CGCAACGTTTTTGCACGCTATAAAAAAGAGTTTCCATTCGGCAATTGTTGTCCTGTCAACATGTATTAATATATAAAGAGGATTTACATAAATGCAAATTATTTTTAATACGAAACACGAAGATATAAGTCACATTTGGGCTGTCGAGAATGCCATAACGTGATAATCTCGAGATAAATAATTTCACGCGTACATATATATTTTCACTTCGAAATCCCCGGAATATATAAACGCGTTATCTTCATTATATATTCCCTATTTTAATTCGAAGCTACACGTGTTTGTGACGTGAGCGCTCGCGGGTTAACGAGCGCGTGTCACGTTTTGCAATTCGAGCGGGACGCGCGGGGGTCCCGGACAAAACCAGATTCGCATAATGTAGTGCGGTATTACGATTAGAGCCCGCGTGCGTTGTAGCACACCGATTGCATAATCCGCTTGTAAATAAGCAGCCGTGCGCATACGTTGGCTCGTTCGCGAGCGAAGGAACGCGAGCGTTGTCACCTGTCGGCGGGCAATCGCGCGTTGTGAGAAAGTAGCGCGAAATATATTATAAATATCGCAATTATGACTTTTCAGAAGCAGCCTATCGAGCTCTATCCAGCACGCTGCTTCGCAACTGCAACTGCAACGATGGCAGTGGCGACGGCGAACGGTGCACACGCGAATGCATATACATATATATCTTTGCCTCGTCGTTGCGCTCGGGAATGCGGTCTATAGCGCGTAGGATCGAGAGCGGACCAACGAGAGGTAGGGAGAGGGACCAGAGGCGCGCGAAAGGGAGAGAGAGGAGAGATATACGAGCGAGAACGGGACGAGGGAAACGAGAAGGAGATACGAGGAGAATGGTTGAGAGAGACGGAAAGGAAGGGAAGAGAAAGAGAGAGAAAGACTGAGCGAAAGATTATAAAGGAGAGGGAAAGAAGAGGGACGGAGGGAGAAGAGACGAAGAGAGACGAGGCAGCCGAGTATGCGCGTAGAGACGAAAACGAGATGGAACGAGGGAGAGAGAGGGAGAGAGGAGGCAAGAGATAAAAGAGAAGAAGAGAATCATTGGCAGGGAGGGAGCGAAGGGAGAAGGAGAGCGCGCACGGCAGTCGTAAACGGCAACAATTGCTGCGGGCGTTGCCACTCGAAAGCCCGAGTGCCTAATGCCAGATGTCAGACGATGGTTAGAGTCATTACGGTCATCACTTCGTACCGCGATATATACCTAAGAGAGCGAGAGAGAAATAGAAATAGAAAGAGACGCATCCGCGAGAGATGCTAGGGCGTCGCTCGCGCGACACCCGCGTCGCGATTTACGCACGACTCGCAATCTCGGTTCCTCGACTCGATACAGTGCCCGTGAAAAGTATGGACGATCGTTGACGTTTTCGAGAATCCAAGCTGGAGGCCGGCGCGCCTCAAAGTGGAGCACGCTTGGCTGCATTTTTCCGAGTCCCTCGTTTCTTTTTAAGCTTCGTTGTTAGAGACGGATAATATGGACGTATATTATGGAGACGGACAAAAGACGCCGTGGCTTAATGATCCTCCGTCACCGGTTAGGACGGATAATGGGAGACCTGCGCGAGGATGAATTGGACCAATGTTCCCGGCGTTGGACGGCGTAGGCCGCGCGCGTACGTGTGCGGGATGTACACGCGTGTACGCACGCGTTCCTCTTTCCTCATCTCGTGAATATGTGCGAGGATATATTGTTAGATTCGACGAGTCGATGGAGATTAGTACTCGTTAATAGCGCGATTTCCATATGCGAGAATGGAATATCGAAAAAATTAATTATATCGTAATCGAATAACTCGTATCAATCTGAAAGACATGATATTTTTTGCGCTATCGGTTTATTTTTATTTTTCTTCTCGTCATTGCCTTCGACGTTTATCGCTATCGGAATCAAACGCAATCGCACGTTAAGCGGAGACGAGAGCGGAGACAGTGGTTTCTCTTAGGAATCGAGCGCGAGGACTCGATTCGCGCGCGAGTCCAACTTCCAAAACCCGTTTCTACAGCGGAGCCGCCGTAGATCTGGTCTCTGTTCGCGAGATAGAAAGAGCAGCGAGCGAGCGAGATAGAGGAGGAAGAAGCGAGATCGAGAGACAGACGGAAAGAAAGAGAGGGAGAGGGAGAGAGAAACGTACGGAGGCCCCGAGAAACGAAGGACCAAAGGGGTGGAGCTGCATCGAGAGGGATGGAACGAAGGGGACGTCCGGGCCCGGGCCAGGATCCGATTCCGAGAGGGCCCGAACGAAAAATCTGTAATTATAATAATTACAGTCGAGCGCGCGCGGACAACAATTATAAATTATCATTGAACTAGGCAGCGAAACGCCAATAAAATATATATCGTACCGGGGGCAGCCATTAACATCGGGTCGTATGGCCCCCGCCGGATGCGCGCGATGTTGCGTCCGTCGGCCGATTGAAAAATGCACTCGGCTTATTCCCGTGCAATTTCCATCGGCATTCGGCGTCGCACGCGGATGACAAACCAACGGGACAAAAAAGGGCCGAGCGCGCGCGCGAGACAGACGGACGAGATGCGAGAGGGAGGAGGGTGGAAGGCGAGGAGAAAGATTTCTTCTCTTCCTTTATTTTGCGTTCCTGCTTCGCGTGTCCCTTCTTCCATTCGCGTCTCTTTCCTCCAGAAGGAATCTACGGTCCATGAATCGATGTTGGATGAATGACGAACGCTTTCGCAAAGTCGTTTCACGGATGAATATATCTCGGTCAGAAATGCAACGGTCGAGATGCGCTTTAAGCGTATGCAACGAGAGAAGCGCTTTTTTTTTTATCGCGCGCGTTTCGAGCGTAAAGAGACGCATTGACCGTGTCAGGGCGGTTTAACGATCGGCGCGATACCGTCGACGATCGGCTCGCCGATTGCGGCGAATTAGTCTCTCCGGCACTATCGACTTATTACATCGGGCTTTCACTTTCAGGAACTTTCAGCGCCGAGTTTGCGTCTCGCGTTTACGCGCGAGAGAATTAAACGGGGGGAGGAGAATTTAACGCCGCGCTATTCTCGCCTTCCTCCCGCTCCGCGGTCGCCCCGGGATCTCGATTTCTCGCGGTTCTATCCCGCGATAGCTCGATTACCGCTTCGCGTCGGTGCGCGGGCTAAGAGGTGTTATGTTACTTTCGACGATTATATACGTCAAACGTAACACGATCATTCGTAATGCCAGACGACAGTCGGTACACGCGTAATCGCTTCGGCAAACGCGATATCTCGAATTTCAGAGACGCGCGACCTTCCCGCTATCTCTTCCGGGATTTGCTCCCCCTTTCCTCCCGTCCCCCGGAACTACTCCTATCCTTTGCATCTCGTCGTTATCCCGTTCGGAACGTATACAAATGCGCGGTCGGCGGGACGTACCGACTCGTAAAGCACCATCGGTGTGTCGGGGCTAACTTGTTCGCGCTCTAACACCGCTCCGGGGAAGAGCGTCTCGTCGTTGTACAGCGGCGGCGATGGCCTCGCTGAGGAAACGTCGGCGGGATTCCTCCGCCGAGCGCCACGTGGTCGATATAATACCGGAATACCGGCGCGGGGGAGCGGGGAGGGGGAGTCTCGGGACGAGACGAGAGACGGGGGAGGCGAGAGAGGCGCTGTACTCATCTCCTCTCGGATCGGACGACGCTGTGCCCCGAGCGATTCATGTCGCCCCGTTATCCGCGTGTCCATACGCACGGCAACACTTTTGCGTACAGTATACTTTCCTCATTCAGGTCGCTCTCGCGTTCCTCTCTCTCTCTCTCTTTCTCCTTCCGCCTCTCGCAGGGAAAACGCGCGACCGCTCACGCGTGCAAGTGACAAGTCGCGCGCAGACTTTACTTGGTTTTCGAATCGCGTTACTTGTTTCCTCGGAGTAAAAAGATTGATGATCGATAACGCGCGCTTGTTGGGTAACCGCGGTATTAATTGAAACACGCCGAGGAAAACCTCTCGCGAGTACCAATTACAGGTTTCCCGTAACGTACGTGTCTGACAGCTCGCCGACCGGCTTACGGGTGATGCGTTTGTGCCCTTTCGGCCGCTCGGCCGCGTGGAAGGTAACCTTTAATGTGAATCTTGGCAACTTTACGCAAAACGGCGTCGCTTGTGCAAGGGTTAAACGCGAGGTATCCATCGTCACTCCTTCGAGAGACGCGGCATTTAAGATATTAATTATATACGGGTTGGCGAAAGCTCGGGTAAACGTCTCGCAATCGATTGCGATGACGTATCAATTAGAGATTGCCGTATACGTAGGTGCGGTGACGGATTTCCTTCGATTGCGAATGACGGCAAAGATTAGCCGATTCTCCAAGTATACGTCAATTAAGTCTCCATGTCTCTCGCATCGTGAGCATTCGCGAACACGGCTCGTAACTTCTGGATAATCGATTTGCGCGCGCAAACGACGATGATTTAACAAATTGAGATAGAGGAATCAACTCCTCCGAGATCGAGTTTTCTCTGAATATAAATATCAATTATACTTGTACGTAGGAAGAAAGAAAGAACGAAAGAGAGAAAGACCACCGACGGTACCGCGCTTGTTAAGGGAGATGACAGCGTTACGTCGCCCGACGTTTACACCCGCGAACGTTGAGACAAGTGTGGAAAATATTCCGCACGTCATATAGATATCAAGAGGCATGACAAGCAATTCGCAAAATTGCAACAGCCCGCGGAGCTATTCCGCAACTTTTTGCCCGGCTAACGAAACAATCGCCGTCAGCGTTCCTACATGTCTATGTATTTTTTCCTCGCGAAAGGGTGAGAAAGAGCGATATGTAAATATGACGCGAGACTCGAAGAGCGCGCGATTGAAACACAATTGTCGCGCGTGCGAAAAGCATAACGTAAATCGCGGACTCGCGTCACATTCACCCGTCACGCGACTCGACGCGACATTGACGTTTCGACGTATCGACGATCGGGATCTCCGCTTTCTCACCTTTCGACGCTTACGAGGAGCGGAGAAACTGATTTTCGCACGATCTCCTACCTTGAGAAAGCAGCGTCCAACGGGCATGTCCTCGGGCACGGTAGCGTTGTAGAGCGGCTTCTCGAAGATGGGCTCGTTGTCGTTGTAATCGTGCACTGTCACGCGGACGGTCGCGCTGCTGCTCAGAGGCGGCCGTCCGGAGTCGGTCGCGATCACCACGAGAATCGGCGCCGGGTCGACCTCGCATTCGACGTGCGTCACCGTGCTGATGAGTCCGGTGATCTCGTCGATCGCGAACCACGACGTCGTGTTGAGCAGGGAGTAACGCACGGCCGAGTTGGTACCTTCGTCGAGATCGGTCGCGGTCACTCGCAGGACCGACGTGCCGGGCTCGGACGCCTCCAGGAGATGGGCGTCGTACCTCTCCCGCGCGAACCTGGGCGCGTTGTCGTTGACGTCGGTGACGAGGAGCCGGAAGGTGCGGACGGCGCGCAACGGTGGCGTGCCGGCGTCGGTCGCCTCCACCGACAGATCGTAGACGGGCTTCTCCTCGCGGTCCAGCGGCCGTTCGACCACCACCAGATAGATGATGTTGTCTCGCGTGGTGAGACCGAAGTGACCCTCGCCCCCGGTGAGCGTGACCGTCGCGTTCGAGTATTCCGTTCTGGAGTCGGGATCGCTGACGGATATCCGGGCGACGAATTCGCCGGGTTGCGCGCTCTCGCTGATCTTGGGGGTCGCGTCGTCCGACAGGAAGATGACGGTGATGGCCGGCTGATTGTCATTGACGTCGGTTACGCACACAGATAGGAAGGCGCTGGCTTCCAGCGGTTGGGCGCCGCGATCCCGGGCGACGATCACCAGCTCGTGCCGGTCCTTGGACTCAAAGTCGAGGGCCTTGTTGACGTAGACCATCCCGGTCTCCGGGTCGATGCGAAACATCTCCTCGCGGTCCGACTGCCGGCGATTAATGGAGTACTCGATGCGGCCGTTGTCGTCGGCGTCGGCGTCGGTCGCGTTCACCGCCAGCACCGGCGTGCCGACAGTCGCGTTCTCCGGCACGCACGCGACATAGCGCGTCTGATTGAAGATGGGCGGATTGTCGTTGACGTCCTGCACCGTCACGTTCACGTGCAGGCTCGATCGGAGCGGCGGCGTCCCCCCGTCGAGCGCCTCGATCACCAAGTGATACCGCGAACGCGCCTCCCGATCCAGCGAACCGGAACTCTGAAGGTCCACGTAGAGGACGCCGTCGCGGCCCATGTGCTGCGACAGCCGGAAGACGTTGCCGTGATTGCCGGCGACGATCTCGTAGCGCTGCGTCGAGTACTGCTCGAGATCGGGATCCTTGGCCGGTGGCAGCGCCCGTTTGACGTCGCGCGGCGAGTTCTCCGGGAACTCCACGTCCACGTGGTCCACGGGGAAGGTTGGCGCGTTGTCGTTCTCGTCGAGGACCTTGACGGTGATCTGCACGTTCTGCTGCAACGCCAGCAGGACGTACGACGGACGGGTCTCGCGGTCCAACTGCACCTTCGTCCTTATCTCGCCCGTCGCCTGATTCACGGTCAGATCGGACTCCACCGACGTACCCTCCACCGACACTATCAGGTATGGCGGATTGTCGGCGTCGATATATCCCACCCTCGTCCCCGGCGGCGCATTCTCGGAGACCTCCAGGCACGTTACGTTTTCGCGCGTAACGCTGGATAGCGCGCCCGGGGCGAGGGTCGCTCCCAGGACGAGGAACAGTAGCAGATGCCGCATCCTGGGGGTCTCCAACACCGCGCCACGGCCGTCCTCCTCCTCCTCCTCTCCCGTCTTCGTGATATTATCTCGATCTTTCCATTCCTACGCGACCGCTAGTCTCGCGAGACGCCGAGCGCGCGATGATGAACGAGAAGACGTATCGCTTCCGACGACGCAAAGTCCTTCCTCTTCCTCTCTCCTTCGCGACAACGAACGTCGCGGTGATTATCGCGGCGCTTTCCTTTCCTTCCCGACACCTTTCGTATCACCCAACATATTTACCACCAGCACCAATCAACCACGAAATCACTGCTTTTATCCTCGGTTTCTCTCGGCTGTAGTATTACACTTACACCGACGCGGAGTATTATCTCTTTTTCTCGCGGAAAAACGTAGCTTCGCGTTTAGAAAACCGGCAGGATTGTCTCACTGCGTCGTCGACCTGTCGTGGCCGCACGAGCCGTTTCCTGGTGCAAACCGCGACATCCCAGCGTCGCGAGGATACCTTCGTCTCTCTATCCTTTGAAATTTTCTCTTCTTCTCTCGCCTTTTTATCTTCCGCCTTCTCGGCTCTCTGATTCTAGGCTTCCTCTTCCTTCTTATTTTTCTCCGCCAGCTGTAAACATATCACAAATAGCCCTCGCTGTCACCGGGAATATCTCGATCGCGAAATATGGCACATTCCTCGCGTTAGATCCACGACTCGATAATAGAACCGATCAGCACGACCGGTCGTGAACCCGGCGCGATCGCCTCGCGTCATACATGGTGTCCCGTCGGACACCTCGAACGTCTGTCCTTGGGACACGCGATTCCGTTCGATTCTGCTCCCGTCGATCACGACGCGCCTAATTCGTTCCACGACGTCCCGGACCGGTTGCTGCCGTTATCATTCTCTCTACCTCGCGTAAGACACCCGCTTCTTCCGTATCTTCTCGAGGACCGTCGATCAAATCTCGGGCGGAGTTAACGACCAGGCGAAAGATCGGAATAATCGGGATCGAGACCGATGCGAACGGACGAAAACGACAATTCGTATGTACCGAACGTACTTCGAACTGTCAGTGTACACTCGCGATGCACCCTGATGGGGATAAATAACGCGCGCAAAGATACACGGTTCACCGAGATGCTCGCGAATCGCGATTCTCTTCGAGGTCTACGAGTATCTTGTCCGTCTCTCTTCTCCGTTCGCGAGTCGATATCGACGATAGGTTGATTGCGAGACCTCTCGAACACTTTTGGTACCGCGCGCCGAAGACCCTCGGAGGAAATCGGTCCTACGATCACGTGCGCTCGACGATCCGTATGCGCGAGCTCAACGACCGGAGGCTAAACTAGTAAAGTCCCCTTGAGAGAAGCACGGCACGAGGTGTTGTCGCGTACTCGAGCCCAACATCCGTTCCGCGCGGCTTCGAGGTTAGGCATGCACTGACATGGCGGCACCTGCGATGCCTACCTTTCCCCTGACTCGACGGGCCCGCGCGGTCGGGGAGGGGGGGGCAGGGGTTCGCGAACCAACCGGCGGCCATCTTGGAGAGGGGAGCAGCGATGCCGCTCGCAACCGGGACCGGGCCCCGGCATTCAACTCGCTCCTCGGCAGCGAGCAGCTAGACCATACCAAACTCTCTTACCTGCCTTGCCTGCCTGCCTGCTCGCATGCCGACTCGCTCGCACTCCCTTTCCCCTCGCATCCTTTTCCTTCTCTCCTGCGTCTTCTCTCTCCGCCGTCCTATCTACCTACCTACCTACCTACCTGAGCGCTCGGTATGCGAGGAACCGACTTACCGTCGGCGCTCATTCCGTGCCCGGCCCTACGTAGGACCTCCTGTACGTGTCTCCTGTGCCAAAGGTCCTGGAATTTCGTGACGCGACAAGAAAAACGGCTACGAGAACGTGCCGTCTCCTGCAAACGCGCGTTACACGAAAATAGGCTCTTCGAGAAGGATTCTCGGAGTGAAAGGACCTGTCAGTATCATGTACGAATTGTTTAATGACTAATGGCAGGTTCTGGAATTTTTGCAACGTGACCAGAAAAATATCGGAGCGACTCTAGGCGACATATCCCACGAATCGCAATGATTTAAGATCGAATGAGACAAATCGCCAAGATTCCGGAATTTCGTAACCTGACGAGAGAGAATGTGCCATCTTTCGTTGTTAGATACGTAAATCGGGATTATGAAAAGACAAAACGCCTCCTGGGTATGACATACAAATCATTAATGTCTACAGCCGTGTAGTTTTCAACATTTGCAATCACATGTGTTGGAGAAATCTGAAATTAAATCAAATAAATTCCAAACTTTTTCAGATATTACGCGGATGTTTTCGTGATAATTCAAATTTCGGATCAATTTATGCCAAATTTTTGTCATAAATTTACTTCTTTACGATATTCTGTACGACGTTTATATATACCTTGCATTATAATAGATTAAAAATTGCTAAATATATTTTCAGCGGCATATTAATTTGATTCTGTATTACGGAACCAAAGCCCTCTGATATTAGTTGTATAAATGAAATATGATCAAGTTTTCAAACTCGCCCATCAACCGCGAATATATAAAATGCGTGCATATATATAAATGAACAAAATAATTTATACTGTAGAGGCACAATTTTTCTACAAACGATGTTTTTACAGATAACAATGTACTGTGTTTGTATCGTTTATATATAAAAAATTATAGAAATTAAAATATTCGTGTTAAAAATAATAAATGTTGCTCTTATCTCATTCTATTCAATAAACATTATGCAAATCATATCGTTAAATGTAAATATTTGCTCTTCCGGGACTATAAATGCTAGTCTAAAGTGTTCATTTTTTTTCGATACAACGTCATGGGATATTTTTGATTCGCAATTATAATTTTACAAAAAAAATATCGTATATCGGTAAAATATAAAATTCAAGGTATCGTTAATATTAGACCATCGTCACTTCCTCGATCACGGAGAATCTCGTCTACATACCTGCCGAGCATGACGATATAAAGTAAACGAATATTTACAGCGACAATTAGACAGAGTAATAAACACCGATCGTCACAAATCGAAATTATTACAACGATTCGCCAATACGTTCCATCCAGGCGAAGCCGTCGAGGATCACGTCACGAGGAAGCGCGAGCTACTGTACGATTTGTTATTTCCTAAATTCCTAAATTTATCGATAATTGATAGATGGCCGAAATTATGCGCGAAATTAGCCAGGAACGAAAGAAAGGTCGATCGGTCTTCCGACGGCGACGACGGCGACGACGGCGACGATGACGGCGGCAGCCGGTCGGTCGCCGGCAGAGACGCGACGCGTACCGGGGGTCGAGGACCCCTGGTCTCTCTCTCTCTCTCTCTCTCCCCCTTCGTCCTCTCTCTTTCTCGTCTCTCTACCTGACTCTACGAGTAGGCAGATAAATCCGCCGCCTACTACTACTCGCCGCGGCGGACAATACGCTCGGGACGGTGCATCATCGTTCGTATTGTTTGCTCGGTCAACCGCTCGGCTTTTCTTGCAGGTGCTGGAAGCGGAGCGAGCGCGCGCACACACCATCACGTAACATGACGACGCGCATATAATACCGCGGTGACACGCGAATATTTCCCGGAAATTAAGTCACTTGTGCGCGGAAGTCTTTCCACTTTCCGCGTGGATTTCGCGCGTAGAAATAATGCGCGATTAGCGCGCGTTTTTAATTCCGCGAAGATGACTCGAATTGCCAGTAGTTAGTTTTAATAACGTGGGAATACGCGGATCGGGTTTCAAATTGTTCGCCAATTTCGCTCCGCGGACAGATCCGAGGAGAGAGCTCCAGGAGGAGAGAACTCCTTCTCGGTAAGTCGTCAACGCGCCTATATGTCCGGGATAGTAGCTCGACATCGACAGACGGTCGGCAGCAAAAACACTTCTTTGTAATAATAATGACTTCCATCTGCAGCCAATGTGTATCATTTTTGGCATGATAGAAAGAAATGCGTTGCGTGTTGTCACGCTTGCCTGCGTCCCTACGGCATCGGGACGAGAGAAATTGGCGCACCTGCGAATCTCTACGTCGAGAGGAAAGCGAAGAGGTGTTCGGTACTGCCGAACGATTCTTCATCGTACGACTGTTCTCGGAACGAGACTTCCTCCTTCTTTCCCAATCCTCTTACTCTCCTCTACTTATTACCTTACCTCTCCTAATTCTCGTCGTTCTCTTTCGGCTCGTTCGTTTTCGTTCTCGCTCCCCAATCTCCTCTTTTCTCTATTTCTTCTTCTTCTTCTGCTTCTTTTTCTTCTTCTAAGGTCGAGCTCACGATGAAAATGCCACCGTCACCGTCGTGCCCGATTCCCCTCTTTAGCGACGACGCACATTTCCACGAAATCGTTCCAGCGTACATCAATTTCGGCGCGACGTGGTGGCACGGTCGCTAGAAGAAAATTACAGAGTTCAGGGATAAAAGGTGGTAGCACGAGGGCAGAGGGCGAGGATGCAAAGAGGAGGAGGAAACCGAAGTGGTCCGTGGATATGAGGGAAGAATCACGGTGCGATAATCTGAGACCAAAGAAAGGAAAGATGACCGAGCTCTCGTCATTAAGCGGAATGATTGCCGCTCGCGAAGACCACCTACACTTGCAAAGAGGCGCCCCAAGGACGAGTGCACCCCAAGGATGCTGGACCGCCGTGCGCTTTTACAAGCCTACGAATGGAACCCCGCGGTTTCGTCGACCCACTTCCGGCGAAGCCAATCAGCGAGCGTTGGCCGCCCAGAAAACGCTACGATGCAACGGAATAAGTATTTTGAAAGATCAAAAACCAGCCGTCGTGTCATTATTCTCGAAAGTGAGATAGATGTACCCGTAAATAACTAGTTAAGGAATTTACTCGTTATATTTCAGACTCTTATTCTGCGTCTGGAGGTAAGATTCACGTAAAATACGATCGGTTTTGTATAAGCGGACTAATTGAAAGAGAGAGAAAAAGAAATGTTTTAAAATATAATTTCCCATCGCGGGTGGAATTAGGATTATTTTTAAAGCCATAGAAATCGAATTATGCAAAGTCAAGGGAATACTAGTGTTTAGCGAGCGATGATGTTACCAGACAAAGTCGGTGCACGATAGAGTTACGAGTTTCGAATGTCTGCCCGTAGTCGTGACTACCTCTAGTATTTCGCGACGCTCGCTCGAATTTCGTAAAAATGCTATTTGAAAGAAAACGGCAGCCAAAATGATACCAAGTTTCACGCCATATCGATATCGCGTAATGGTCTGCTATCTCATTTCATTTGCAGAGGAATAAAAAAACAAAAATATGAAAATTAAAAAATACACTTTCAATACTTTATTATGTCTTTAAAAGTTAAAATCGTTTAAAATTGATTTTCGCTCGATCGATTGTTATTTTCCTACGTCGTTCTCGAAAAACGTTCCGACAAATATTCTACAAGAAAGAGATCGCATGGTATACGTTTTCATAATTCAATGCAAGAATATTGAACATAGATTACACCATTTTACAAAGAGACCAAGAGCATTCATACAAATGTCATAAATATAATTTTTGCGTATATTTTTCTATACTTTGCCTTGAAAAGAGTTAACAACCATGGACGCGCATGTTTGAATGTGACGAGAAACGTGCGTTTACAAGAGCAAATACAAGAGCGAGAGGAAGGGGAGGGGCAGAATGAAAGACAAGTTTGGAATATTTTCTCACAATTGACGATTCACGCGATACGCGGCACAAACGCTGGCAATGTCGCGGAGTGGTGGCGTAAAATAGTAGCATCGAAGAAGACGATGAGGGCCTCCGGCGAGAGAAGAGAAGAGATCGAACGGAAAAGGAAAGGAGAGCGGTATAGCGGAGGGAGCAGGAGGATTTGTCGATCCTGCGTCGGTTGTACGGAGAGGCGCCGAAAATTGGATACTGGTGGGGGTGATGGAGACCAGCCGCATAATGACAGGGTGCCTCGCGCCAAGGCCCCGCTAACGAACCGGCCCACGGAACCCAAAGGGTCCGAGCTAGGACACGACACTGTATTATTTTACCATTTCGGGGGTCGGGGGCATCATCAGAAATCATCGCCGAATCCATATAATCAGTAGACGGTTACGTGCAGCCATGATTTTTAAGAGCTGCACGAAGGGAGGATGAGACAAGAAGGGTGACGCGGAGAGAAACGAGGAAAGTAGAGACCTAATAAGGCGAATGGTCGTAGGTGCCTTCGCGTCTCCTTGTCCTCGGTGTCCTTTCGGAGGATCTCGCGAACTTCTCTTTCGACGCCGTCCTCTGATATGAACTTATAGAACTCATTGGGGCCGCGTTAATGACACGAACGCGATAAAAAGCAAGCGAGCTACCTTTCTGTCCGCCCTGTGATTCTTTTTCGTGCATGGCGACTCCATCTTGTACGAAGGTGGGCCTTAAAACGTCCCAATGAGATTGCAAATGCATGGTAGAACGATTTTAGAGCGCGATGATGGAAGGGCGAAATTGCTCGCGAAAGAAAAAAAAATAAAAGAAATTTGAGAGTCGCGCGCGATCTCTGGGAATTGACAAGACGGAGATGAGAGCACTTCGTTAAAACGAGTGCTTTCCGACTTTTTTTACATCTTTCGTCTCTCAAAGAGAATGTCTTGGTAATTAAAAACAAATTGCTTTAAGAGCCTATGTAATTGCAAAAATGTACACGCTCGACAGTAAATCAATTTTTACTTTTTTCTTACATACCGAACAAAAGAATCTAAACGCGTTGTATTGAAAAAATATTTAACGTTAAAGAAATGCGATTTAACAAAATACTTATTCACGGAAAATGCATACATATATACGTATATATTAGATTATATATATTTATATATAAAAGTATTTCTACTTCTTCATTTTTTGCTGCGTGTTTGTTATTAATTTCTGAATTAATTAAGATATTTATAGCAATTTATGAAAGCGTCCCGTAACGATCTTCATCGATATTACAGGGTGAAAAGTAAATTCAATGTACGAGTCACCAATATTATATTCCACAGTACAAGATCACAGTCGGGAGTGAAGCAATGAAGTGCAATACGCGAGCACACCGTGAAAGTCGATCGATAAAGATCTAAATGAAAGTTGTAGAGGGAATATAAAGCGACTCTCCTGAGCGCAGCTACTTTGCGTAGGACCGACCGGTTTGCCAGAAAAAGAGAAGAAGGACATTTTGCATGTTACGTGTTCTACACTGATTGGAAACTTGCCGTCTATAAGTCATAGCTTGTCGAATAAAAAGAAATAATATCGCACGATGCAGAAGTTGAAGCAATCATATATACCGTGCATACGTGTATCGATATAATGATGACATTTATAGTCGACATGAAATAACGTTAAAATGATAATTGTTAATTTTATTCGATACCGTTGCGTTGTATTACATCTTCAGGTTTATTAAGTCTCAATTAGAGCGTACTTCGTCCTTATCTGGGCTAAACAACATAGAATAACAACTTAATTTCTTTCACGTTTTACATTTATCTTTGGAGAAAAAAAAAAGAAAAAGCATCGACTCGCGCGGATAGAATAATTTAGACCCGAAGGAAAAACCAAGACCGCGTTCGGATATTCCGTGGGAGTATAGTAGAATGATAGAGCTCGGTTCGACACGTAAACGGGATATCGATACGCGTTATTTCGATAATTAGGAGCTTTTCTTTCGACAAAGGTCGTCTCGAGCCTCACGGACTGGTTTAAAAATCCTACGGTCCATGTTCGCTGGTTCGGTCTACAGATAACGTCCTGACGATCCGATTAGAGGCGCGTCCTGCTCCGATATATCGTGAAGTTGTCTTCTGTTTCTCCAAATTATGCGGCGGCACGATGTCCCTTATCGAATGTCTCTTTCGTTGACGCTCGAGGGACCTTTAATCACAACTTGTCTCGATAAATTTAAATGTGACGCGCTCTCGCGAAACGTTGACTAAACTGCTAAAGGCATAGTTAAATGCGTCAAATACCTTCGACTTTTGCGTAGAAGAAAACAGCTTTACGTATAACGTACGACGCAGTCTATTTTCTCGCGGGCGTTGAGTCCTGGGCGCATTCTAGCAATGCCATGTTCAATCAACGACAAAAGAGGCTGACTAGGAAGGAGCCTTGAATACTTAATTTCAACTACTTTACCTCGTGCGTTATCCATGCAGAAGTTACGGCCTTGATCCGTGAGCAAGTGGCACTTTCCCGCCTCGTCGTCCACACGGTAAATCTACTCTACGAGCCATGTAGTCCTATCAAAGACGCGAACACAATGCGCGGTAATTGAGTTACGCAGGCATGGTGCAAACTTCAGTGCAAACCTGGCACGGACGATGAAACTGCAAGACGTTACACCGACTTGACGAATTTACGATGGAATGCGGTGCTGATATAAGTAGGAATTTATATAGATGAATCGATTTTTATTTCTTTGCTTCTTTCGGGAGATGCTTGAATCTATCATAATCAGCATTCTAATCTATCGTATTCAACATTCTCGAGGAATGTTTGATCGTAAGATCTTATTACTTTGTAACAATGAACATAACAATATTTTCATGACAGCAATAAAATATAAAATTAATATTAATAATATGTATTTTTCTTAAAATATAAAATTAATAATTTCAATAATAATATATAACTGATCCGTGTGGTTTTTTAAATATTCGTACATAAGTATACAAGATATGTGTAAAATATATACGAGTGTTATAGAAATATTAAAACGATACGTACTTTGAGCATATGCATAGAATATAATTGACAAACAGATGTTAAGACGTCTATTATTCCACTAGGTCTATGTAAGACTATTTCGTGCATCTTCGCGTCTAGGGCGCTTTCTCTTCTTTCTCATCTCATTTTTCTATGCACGTACACACTCATACATGCATGTGATGCAACAACTTCACGTACATCGCGAAGCAATAATACTTTTCAAACTGCGATAGAGTGCCTAGATCAATTATTTCTGATTCCGAGTAATAATAATGTGAGTATAATTGTGCCCCGTCGTTTTAGATTAGTAGCTATTAATTGCTTTCCTCCCCCGGCGTATTTCATTATGATAGGTGTCATTTATGGCCGCGCGCGGTTGCTGCGGGACTCGAGCGAGAGAAACAACTTGATATTATGCTTCTGGCGTGATTGGTTGAATCTTACACCTCCGCAAGTTTAGTGTTGTGTGCTATTTAAAGATACTGCGAAAAAGTAAATTTTATTATAATTTCTCAGGAGAAAATTTGAAAAATGATATACCTGAATTTTTTTCTAATTTGTGTGTGATTGCATCTCTTTGTTACATACACACGCAGACTTATGGAACGTAGAAACATTAAGGTGACTCCATCTCTTGGTTATCTTGCGTAGTAACGGAGGAATGTTAGACCAATGAAATTTTTGTAGGATATAAAGAAAAGATGGAAATAACAACTTAATAATATTTTAATTTATAGAAATAATCTATTTATTTTTAAATTCAAAATGTACATTAAACTTGAAAATAATAATATATACTGGACCAGCTTAGTTAAGGTTTAAGAGGCATATTGGGCCAATATTGAGGATTCATGATATCTTTATATTTGTTCGTTGCAGTTTCCAAAGCAGTTTCCATTGCTAATATTTTGGAACTATCGTCACCATATAACAAATGTGCTTCCTGTTTCCTCATATAGATTTTCTCAGCATCATTAATGATGGGAATTTCTTCTACAAAATTTTCCTTATACATCTCAGCAGCATCAATGATGGAAATTTCTTCTAGAGAATGTTCCTTCTTAATCTCTTTAGATTTACATGTTTGCTTCAACTGTCTTTTGTGTCTCTCGCTTATTTCGAAAAACTTTAACATATCTTCATTCACATTAAACTCAACCTCTCCAATATTCGAATTAAATTCTGTATAGTTTTCTTCCTGCATATCTGTTTTATGGTTCTTTTTATAATAATTGTTTTTCCGAGTTATATTAGGATAGGTACAATGCTGAGCTAACAATCTCACTTTATCGCGCAGCATTTCATTTTCATATTCAAGAGCAAGGCAGCGTGATCTCCACCAGGTTATACTATGTCTGCAAATAGCAATTTATTGAACAATTAAATGTTTTACAAGAAAAACTATTTAGTATTTCTCTCATATTCTATATATATATATATATATTTTTATTATTATTATTATTTGAATTATTATTTTTCTCTAATGTGTAATTCAATGAAGTTTTTCGAATAAAATTTTTTAATAAATTTATCTGTGTAAGAAAAAAAAAATTGTAGAAAAGAGAATGAGAGAGGGCATAAATGATAAATTTTTTGTCTTACACTTACCTTTTTTGCCATTCTTGAGCTGATGCATAATTTTTCCAAAAAGCATCGGCTTGCATCGTGGTCGTTCCTATTCTTCGCGCATCAAAAGCATTAATATATTCTGGGAACACTTCCCAATGCTTCGCGGACGATTTAACCTCAATTCTAATTCGCTCGTGTAATTGTTTTCGTTTCAGGTATCGCTTTTTCTTCCACTTTTTGTGCCGTTTTGTAGGAACAAATTCCATACCTCGAAAATAGATTACTTTACAAAACACAGCTGAGTTTTTATGTTAACTCCATTGTTTACATTTTCGTATTAACGCCATCCGTTGTGAGACGATAGAACCTGATCAAGCATCGACTTATTCTATCAATTTTTTTTTGTTTTCGGACAAATCTAAAGGTGCAATTTCATTGACGCTAGAAACCAGCGGCAAATTAAAATCACTTTCTCTAGATATGGCGTCAATAAAATAAAGTTCAAACAGTTTCAACTTTTTCAGTGTGTAAAGCGGCCTTTTCATTGACGCTACTTTTTAGCGTCAATGAAATTGCACCTTAACAGTTGGCAGCCCTACGAGAGAGGCTGTGCAGCACTGCGCGTATATAAAATAAATTTGAAATCGCTTCTAGCTAACCATCTTCACGCGATCGACTTTATTTGAATTGCACGGCATCGCATCGAATTATGATGCGGCGCCGATTTGTTCGAACGTAATTCGGGACATCGCAATGCTCTATAGGCGTCGAATGAGCACGAATTGTCACGCAAATATGATAAATCAAATCTACTCACTCGTTCACCGGCTGTTCCATAGGCCGCTCCACTCGCTCGCCTCGGGACGTCCCATTCCGATCTTGATGCACACGATATCATCAACGCGAACGCGCGACACTTTATTCGGCACTCCCGATATTCGCTCGCATCCGATAATCATCATCAAGGGCGCAAATAACGCGACGCGACTTCGCTCCATCTTCGCGATGACGCCATCACTGAATATCGTCAAAAATCGCTGTCGCGCGTTTTCATCGACACACTATGAAAGTCGCGCGATCATCCTTGGACACTTTCGACGCTCTTTCACTCGCGATATTCGTTTAAAAATGGTTAAAAGACGCGAAAAATGCGGACGTTCGACGATCCGTGTAACTGCGTATGACTCCGAGTCACGTATGACGCGTATGACGTAGCAGTCACGCGCCAACATGGTGGCCGAACCAGTGCGCAGAAACGAATGCGCAGAAACGAATGCGCACTGGTTCGGCCGCCATGTTGGCGCGTGACTGCTACGTCATACGCGTCATACGTGACTCGGAGTCATACGCAGTTACACGGATCGTCGAACGTCCGCATTTTTCGCGTCTTTTAACCATTTTTAAACGAATATCGCGAGTGAAAGAGCGTCGAAAGTGTCCAAGGATGATCGCGCGACTTTCATAGTGTGTCGATGAAAACGCGCGACAGCGATTTTTGACGATATTCAGTGATGGCGTCATCGCGAAGATGGAGCGAAGTCGCGTCGCGTTATTTGCGCCCTTGATGATGATTATCGAATGCGAGCGAATATCGGGAGTGCCGAATAAAGTGTCGCGGGTTCGCGTTGATGATATCGTGTGCATCAAGATCGGAATGGGACGTCCCGAGGCGAGCGAGTGGAGCGGCCGGAAACAGCCTATGGAACAGCCGGTGAACGAGTGAGTAGATTTGATTTATCATATTTTCGTGACAATTCGTGCTCATTCGACGCCTATACAGCATTGCGATGTCCCGAATTACGTTCGAACAAATCGGCGCCGCATCATAATTCGACGCGATGCCGTGCAATTCAAATAAAGTTGATCGCGTGAAGATGGTTAGGCTAGAAGCGATTTCAAATTTATTTTATATACGCGCAGTGCTGCACAGCCTATCTTGTAGGGCTGCCAACTGTTAAGGTGCAATTTCATTGACGCTAAAAAGTAGCGTCAATGAAAAGGCCGCTTTACACACTGAAAAAGTTGAAACTGTTTGAACTTTATTTTATTGACGCCATATCTAGAGAAAGTCTAGTGATTTTAATTTGCCGCTGGTTTCTAGCGTCAATGAAATTGCACCTTAATGCGTGCATGAAATTTGCTTTTACGAGGAGGAGATGAATATAGATATAGTCTAATTTTTAATACAAATTATTTAATTTTTTAATACAATTAAAATATAGTCTAATTTTTAATACATTAATATTGATCAGAGAAAAAAAAAGAAATATTTTTATTTTAAAATATAAAAATATTTATCTTATATAAATAATAACTTATTTTTCGTTGTTTTCGAATGCTTTATAATCTTTCTCTAATCTCTATTTTTTTATATTGTTTTATACATAGGAAAATAAAATAGTATATTAATCTAAGCTGATAATATATATTAAACATTACAAATTATTATTATAAATTGAAATAAATTGGACGAAAAAAATAAATCTTATAGTATTTATAATATAATATGCACATAAGAAAGCAATGTAGTATTTTCTAGTGTATAAATTCCAACTAATAATGGAAAAAGAATTTCTTAATTTCTGTTTTACTTATATGAAGATACCATGAGTCCTCAATATTGGCACAATGCGAAATGAGAAAAATGCAAAAATATATGAAAGATTAAATAGGTGATTTTTATTAGAAATATACAGTAATGTGTTTTGTGAGGGTTTTATACAAATCTAAAAAAAGAGGCTTTAACTTAAGTGAAAGTTATGCATATATAACACCCTTATAAGATGTTATCTAGATGTCTAGAGATATTATCCTTATCCTGTTTTCGCACACCCAAAGTTACACTTTACAGTCATTTACAGTGAGACAAAGTTTTTTTTTGCATTGAAATATCTACACATATTTTGCACACACAAGTACTATAATCTGTCCGTCTCTCTTTTCATCTCCCTATACAGTAAATCTTATAAATATCTCAAAATTCAACACACTACTTAATTATTTCTGAGAATGTATTCATTACATTCTTTACGTTTTAGAATTTCAAGCTTATAATCACAATCAGTCTCAATCACAATATATAAAAAAAAAAGAAAAATATTCCATCTACTATCAACTGAAAAAACTGATTAGAAACGAGCTATTGTTGTTTATGTTTTTCTCAAAGTATTTTTGACTGTTTATTTGTTATCTAATTTCGTCAAAAACCGTGGAAATTGTCAACAATATTTTTGAAATAATATGTATAAAACTTCAAATACTATTACAGATATTTGATTTTTCGAATGGAGAGACTTTCAATCAGATTTCTATTAATAAATCATTGTAAAGCTCCAATCTTGACCTCACATATATGTCATATTCAATCCACGTTCAAACATTACTTCATCGTCTCCTAATTTAACATTGGCGCTACCTGAGCTATTTCTCCTCGAATTATTAGTTCGAGCTCCATTAACTCGAGTATTATTACCAGATGCTTCATCATCGCTTCCATTCATTGATGTCATTTTATGCAATCGTTCCAAACCAATAATCACACGAACATCATCAGGAATCTGATCTTCCATGGACATAAGCTGATAATAAATACCTTCAGCTTTAGAAATTGTCCAAGGTAACTCAATATGAAGTGACAAATCATTTATATGCTGTAAATAATAACATTAGAATATTTTAGAATTTGATAAAAATAATTATCATTGTACCATTGTAAAAAAGTATTTTGAAAATTACCTTTAATATTTCTGTAAATCCATAATTATTTTCTATTAAAATATTCTTCTCTGTGTCCAAAATAGCTGCGCATATAAGTAAATGAAAGTTTTTGCAAGGTAAATTCGTCCACAGTATTTCCCATAATTTTAATATATCGATCGCGCTAAATTCTCGCTTAAAGAGTACCAACAACCATCGAAAGCAAAAAAACATATTGCCAGAATCATGTCTATTTAGATAGTATGCCAATTGTGGTTCCGTAGTGCATAATAAAGTATGCAATTGGCATAATTGTGTTTTCATGCCTTTTTGATCCATCTCAAAATTAGTGCTCTGTTTTAAAATAATAGAAATTGCATATACTTGCAAGCATTGGCATTATATACTATTATGTAAAGAATATCAAACTCACCACTTTATCCATGAATCCAACAAAACACCAAAATGCATCTACCTCATTATCCATTAAAAATAAGATAGGACTAAGAAGATCACTCATACCCTGAACATATCCTAAATCAAAATTGTACATTACATAGGTCATGAGTATATCATACAGTTGTTCTAAGTGAGGGTTATTATCTCCTGCATAATAGGGATGTGTTCGGTCTGTTCTATTTACATCCTTTTCTGAAATAAAATTAAAAGATGTATAATATATATTTATTTATTTCAAAATATGAGAAATTTTATTCTTATATCACTTTATAGCCTTACCTATTAAACTTTTTCGTTCCCTATAGTCGGAAAATCGACTCTCTTGCGCGGACGTAAATGTACGCCATTGCAATTTCATTGTGAAATATTCATCAGTCTTTTTCCTCTTCAATTCTAATCTTTCATTATGTGTCGATCGCCATGGATAATAATTCAATAAAAATTTCCATACTTCGAAACGCAGTGATGGAAAAATACCCTAATAAATGCCACATATGATAAAATTTGTCACATGTTATATTTAAACAATTAGAAACATATTATTGAAAAAAACAGATATATACCCCACGAAAAATGATTTCTTTAACAGCCTCTGGATTAATAATTCTTCCTTCTGGATCTTTGTATTTCTCCCATTGTTCTTGTGTCAATGGTGCACCTGATAAAATTATGAAATTTTTATTTAAATACATAATATATATATATATATATATATATATATACGCAATTAAAAATTTTATATGTAAGAGTCCTATGCTATGTTATTTATCTATGTTGATATACATATTAATGTGTATATTCATATATTAATTTATATACCACGTGGACATGGCGGTCGCGGAGGTAAATCCACTCCAACTCCAATTACTTCGTACTCTTCTCCGGATCCTTCTCCAGATACAGATATAGATACACGTGGATGAGGATCGATTGTAAGAGATTGATTTAATAGATCGGCAACTGCCTCTTCAACAGGTCGTTTCACTGGCTCTTTATATACTATAATATTATTATATATAATGTATATCACATAAATAAATATATAAATATATTATATATATATATATATATATATGTTGCAATTTTAATAGCCAGCAGTGTATAATGTATTATATGTAATATATGCCTATGAAAGCACATCTACAGCAAATTGTAATATATTGATTTTAGTATAATATATATTGATTTTAGATATAAATCCACTTACACCAAATGTCTGCAAGTTTACTGAAAGCCTCTAAT